CAGGGGGGTCATCGGAGACGTCTCAGAGACCCCCAAGACAGCACAAGAGCGCTCCAAGAGTGACCGACGTGACCTCAAGATGGCCCAAGAGGCCTCCAGGACGGCCCCAAAGAGGCTTCCAAGAGCACTCCCAAGGAGGCCCCAAGAGGCAAACATCATTGTCGTTCAGGGAAACCGCGGTTGGAGGCAGGGTGGCCCGATGAAGCCCCCAGAGGCACCCAGAATACGCCCAGGAGGCCTCCAGAAGGCCTTAAGAAAGCCTGAAACAACTCTTGTGAGGCCCCCAGAGGCTCCCCCCAGGAGGAGCCTCCGCAAAAAACAGCTGAGGAGGATGGGGAGAATGCGCAGGGCATGGCGAAAATAATGGAAAATAAACATGTATGAAGGATAACGAATCACATCACCATAGCGGCGACGCCAGAAACGGCAACAACGAGTTATCGCTAATTTGTCGGCTTGACCTTTCTGTTATTCCGCCCGCATACCAAACTTCAAGGACCAAGGTACATGGCGCGAAGCGCGACTTCAGTCTTGTGTATATATATGTATGTATGTATATATATATGGACTGCACAATTATATAGAATTGTTTACTTATAAATACACACCAGACATTGCTCATTCAAAGACCCCTTGAGGGGATGCGGACTCATCTCGATCTCAACCCTTCGTTCCGGGACTCTGGAGAGACTATATATACATATATATGTATATGCGTACACACATATATATATATATATAATATATATAATATATATATATATATATATATATATATATATCGAATGGCCTTCGGCCCATCCCGCCACTGTGCCTGGGCTGTGGGTCTGAAACCTATCGTATGTCGTTTTGGGGATCTCGTGGGCGGCCTCTCGGGGGCCTCCTTGGAGGCAGTTCGGAGGCCTCCCGTGGGCCGGTTCGGGGTCTCGTGGCTTCTTTGGGGCCTCTTGAGGCCTGTTGGGGGCCTCTCGGGGCCTCCTGGGCGCCGAACGGAATTTTCGAGCCCTCGGCCCCAAGAAGCCTTCAGCATGCCCCAAGAGGCCCCCAAGAAGCCCCCAAGAGGCTCCAAGAGGCCTGCCCCAAGAGGCCCCCAAATGGCCCCCAGAAGGACTCAAAAGTGCTGCCAGGAGGCCCCCGAAAGACCTACCAGGAGCCCCCCAAGGGGTCGGCGGTGCGGCGTAAGCTCTTGTGGCCTCCTCGGGGCCTCCGGGGGCGGAAGGCTCGGATTTTCGGTTCGTGCTCCCTCCCTTGGGCCCCTTTTGGGGCCGTCCTGGGGCCCTCCTCCTGGGCCGTCTTGGGGCGCTCTTGGGCCGTTTGGGTGCCCTTTTGGTTGCCTTTTGGTTGCCTTTTGGGCCGTTTGCGGGCCTCTTGGGCCGTCTTGGAGCATCGGAAAGCTGAAACGGCGAGAACGCCCAAAATCAGAACAAGCGAAAGGGGCATCCGTGATTTTGGCTTCTTGGGGCCTTCGTGAGGGTGCTGTTGGAAGCAGTGCCCCCCCCAGGAGGCCAAAATGGGGCCAGAACCTTAGTAACATCAGCGATTTTGGCATTGTCGCCGAGGCCTCTTGGAGCGTCTTGGTTGCCTCTGGGGGGCCTCTTGGGGCCCCTTGGAGGTCTCTTGGAGGTCTCTTGGGAGCCTGTTGGGGGCATCCTGGGGGCCTCCTGGGGGCCTCTTGGGGCTTCCTGGCCACCTCTTGGGCCCTCTTGGGGCACCCTTGGGAGCCTTGGGGGCAATATTTGCGCCATCTTGGGTGAGATCGATCACAGGAGGGGGGTTACAGGAGGCCAGACTGGGGCCAAAGCCATAGTAAAATCATTGATTTTGGCTTCCTCGCCGAGGCCGTTTTGGACGCTCCGACGACTCGCGACCCCCCCAGTCCAGGTCCAGGGGAGGGGGTAGGGGGAGGGGTCAAGACTCACTCCCCGCCTCAAGCCGTCTCGCTGACTCCCACCCGCCCTCCCAACACATACGTAGCACCCGAGCCTGGCCCGAGCCGCAGCATATTCAGCAGTCGACTTTGGATGGGCAGCTTCTGGGGGCGAATCCGCCGCCGCCGCCGCCTCCGCCGCCGCCGCCGCCGCCACCCGCCGCCTCCGCCGCCGCTGTCCGCCGCCGCCGCCGCGCCGCCCGCCGCCGCCGCCACCCGCCGCCCCCGCTCTCGAATCGCCGCAGCCCGCTGTCGCGGCAGCCGCTGCCGCCGCCGCCGCCGCACCGCCGCCGCCGCCCGCCGCCGCGCGCCCCCGCCGCCGCCGCCGCCATCGCCGCCGCCACCGCCGCAGCCGCCGCAGCTGCTGCCCTCGCCGCAGCCGCCGCAGCCGCCGCCGCCAAGTGTACTCTGTATGGTTTTTTGACAGGGATGGTGGGGGGAGGCCGCATCGGGTTCGCTGCGCATGCCTCGAATTTGGAGACAGAGTGGATTTGGCATTGTTTTGTTACCAGGGATGGTGGGGGGTGCCCGCATTGACCCTGGTTGGCTCCCAGTCGCTTGGGGGAGGGGGGGTATATTAATAGGGAGCAATGATAAACCCTTCCCCGAAGGGGAAGAAGGAGGGGTGGAAGAGGAAGCGCCCTAAACCACCGACGCCCAGAGGGCTGGTGGGATTAATGTTTTCTGCGTTTCCGCACTTCCCCTTCGATACGATTCCGAGGCTTGAACAGGGCCTCCAAGGGAGTCCTTGGACGCAAGAAGCGACCAACATGATATTACATGAGTTAGGCGATCCAGCCTAGCTAGAACTTGAGCGCGCGCGAAGCGCGCGATGTTTGTAGCATGTATGTCTGTATGTGTGTATGCACTTACGCATGCATGTCTGTCTGTCTGGCAGTCTGTCTGTCTGTCTGTATGTATGTATGTATGTATGTATGTATGCGTGCATTAATGCATGCATGTACGTATATGTGTGTATGTATGTATGTATGTATGTATGTATGTATGTATGTATGTATGTATGTATGTATGTATGTATGTTTGTATGTATGCATGCATGTATGTATGTATTTATGTATGTATGTATGTAGGTATGTATGTATATATATGTAGGTATGTATGTATGTATGTATGTATGTATGTATGTATGTATGTATGTATGTGTGCATGTATGCATGTCTGCATGTATGCATGTATGCATGTATGCATGTATGCATGTATGCATGTATGCATGTGTGCATGTATGCATGTATGCGTGTATGCGTGTATGCATGTATGCATGTATGCATGTATGAAGGTATGCATGTATGCATGTATGCATGCATGCATGCATGTGTGCATGCGTGCATGTATGTATGTATGCATATATGCATGCATGTATGTACGTATGTACGTATGTACGTATGTACGTATGTATGTATGTATGTATGTATGTATGTATGTATGTAGGTAGGTAGGTATGTAGGTATGTATGTGTGTATGTATGCATGCATGCATGCATGCATGCATGCATGCATATATAATATAATATATATATAATATATATATAGGTATGTATTTTGTGTGCATTCCTCTTCCTATATGTTTATATCAGCCGGGCGGGTGGGGCGGGGGGAAAACCCGTCACCCCCCCAAGAAAAACTGGACTCCCGGGATCTGGGGTTTTGGGACCCTCCAGACGGGCCTCGAAGCGGCCACCCGGCCTCACATGGCGTTTTGCGAAGCCTTCCCGCCTGGGAGGCTCCCAAATCGCCCCACAACCATCCGAAAGGGCTTCCAGGCAGTCCAAGAGAGCCCCAAAACGGCACAACACGGGTCCAAGATGGCCCTCAGAGAGCCCCATGGCGGCCCAAGATGGCCCAAAGACACCCCCTCCGAAGAATTCCAAATCGTGATTCGGTCGTTCGGGGAGACCGCGGTTGGAGGCAGGGTGGCCCGAGGAAGCCCCCGGAGGCCCCCGGAATACGCCCAGGAGGTCTCCAGAAGGCCTTAAGAAAGCCTGAAACAACTTTTGTGAGGCCCCTAGAGGCTCTCCAAGGAGGACCCCCCGCAAAAAAGAGCTGAGGAGGATGGGGATAATGCGCAGGGCATGGCGAAAATAAGGAAAAAGAAGCATGGAGGAAGGATGACGAATAACATTATTATAGAGGCGATGCCAGAAAAGGCAATCAGGAGTTATCGCTAAATTATCAGCTTGACCTTCCTGCTATCCCGCCTGCATGGCAAACTTCAAGGACCAAGGTGCATGGCGCGAAGCGCCACTACAGTCTTGTGTGTGTATGTGTGTGTGTGTGTGTGTGTGTGTGTGTGTGTGTGTGTGTGTGTGTGTGTGTGTGTGTGTGTGTGTGTGTGTGTGTGTGTGTGTGTGTGTGTGTGTGTGTGCGGGTGTGTGTGTGTGTGTGCGGGTGTGTGTGTGCGGGTGTGTGTGTGTGTGTGCGTGTGTGTGTGTGTGTGTGTGTGTACGGGCGGGCGAAATATATAGAACAACATGCCGAGCGCGAGGATGAGGAGTATGCGGGATCAGGCGGAGAAAGTAGAGGAGGAGGAGGAGGAGGGAAAGGACGTACAACGAGTGATGGTGAGGATGGAGGATGCGGAGGGGAAAGTTTGAAGGGAGGGCGGGAGGCGGTAGGGAGGGAGGGAAAGAGGATTCGGTATGATGTATGAGGAGGAGGAAGGAGACAGAGGGGGAGGAGGAGGAGAGGAGGGAGGAGGAGGAGGAGGAGGAGGAGCAGAGGAGGAGGAGGGGAGGAGAGGCAGCGGAGATGAGGAGGAGGGGAGGAGGAGGAGGGAGGAGGAGGAGCAGCAGGAGCAATCAAATGATGATGGTACGTAGGATGATGAGCGGAGGGGAAGGAGACGGATGTGCGGGATGATGGGGCGAGGGAGGAGGGCGGAAGTCGGCGGTACAGGAAGGAGAGGGTGGGGGAGAACGGAGAGGGCGAGGAGGGGAGCGAGAGGGAGCATGGAGCAGGGAATGACAGAAGCAGGGAGGGCGCGAGGGAGGGAGGCAGGGGAGGAAGGCGGGGGAGGCAGGGGCGGGGGACAGGAGCCCCCCCCCCCGCCCGCCCAGGCGAAGCCTTGGCGAAAAGCAGGGCCACGCCGGCGCCCCGCAGCGGGCGCGGCGTCGGCGCCCTGGCGATCTGGGGCAACGTGCCGCTCTACGCCGCCGCCTGAGCTGAGGGCGGGCGGGGGGGGAGGACGGGGGGGGGGGCGGAGGAGGGGACGGGGAGGGGAGGAGTGTGCCACGCGATCGCAAAGCATGGATCAGGGTGGCGTGGTCAAGGGGGCGTGGATTCGCGACGGGTCCCGTTTCCTGGGGAAATCGCACATTTCCGCCGCCGAGCGAGGCGGCACGGGCCGCATTTTGGGGAGGGCACCTCCCCCGATCCGTGGATTTGGCCACCGCGCGCCAAATCCACGGATCGCTTCCCCTCCTCTCCTCCTCCTCCTCCTCCTCCTCCTCCTCCTCCTCCTCCCTCCTCCCTCCCCCTCCTCCTCCTCCTCCTCTCCTCCTCCTCCTCCTCCTCCTCCTCCTCCTCCTCCTCCTCCTCCTCCTCCTCCTCCTCCTCCTCCCCCTCCTCCTCCTCCCCCTCCTCCTCCTCTTCATCCTCCTCCGAGGTTTCGGGAACGGCCGATCGTTCAAGGTTGCACGATCCTCTTGGTGTCCAGAGCCATCGCAAGGGTCGACGCGACACGAACCCGCTCTTTCTCCTTATCCTGGACTCCTCTTCTTCCTCGTCGTCGTCCTCCTCCTCCTCCTCCTCCTCCTTCGCCGTCTCCTCCGCCGTGTCGCGGCTGAATCTGTCGCCCGGGCGTGCTCAGGCCATGACCTGCCCGTTCACCGGCGACGTCCGCCAGGCTGGGGAGGACGTGAGGCGAAAGATGAGGCTGACGCAG